GTATGACCAACGCCTCAGACGCTGCAATAGAAAGTTCAACTGCATTACTGATGTCAGCATTTTTAAAGCTCGTGACATTGGATTTTTCTTTCTGTTTTCTAACGGAATCAACGTTATCAGGACATTTTGGACCATCCACTTTCACTGTTTCAGGAATGGAACTAGGAAAAACATTCTGTTCAGAGGCACGGTCATCCATCATGGAATGCAGATTCTGTCCAAAATCAACAGCATTTTTAACTGGTTGCACTGACAGAACTTTACTTGATGCAGCTAAATTATTTGATGCACTCAAACCCTGGGTTGGAGAAAACAGTGAATCGACATCTGAAAGGCGCAGGCTAAAGTGTAATACTTGTTCCTGCAAAATATTTACAGATCAAACAAACCTTAGTGTTGAATTTTGACTTTAACATATAACAGTACGATCAATTTTCCAATTACTGGAAATATGACCTTTTTAACTCCTTTCATAAGCTTAAATTTTTCCAACTAAGTTTGTTTAGGTCACTGAGCACAGAAGCATCTGCTGGGAGATGATAAATGGATTTAAAAGAAGAGGATAATCTTCCTAAGGTAGGTGCCGTTAGATTCCATCGTAATATGAATATCAGACACATTACAAAGACTGCGTTTAGAAGCCCCGTAATTTCTTTCTTCCAACAGTAAAGTCTTAGATATTTCCAGCAAATTGAGGCAAGTAGCAAATGCATGTACAGATATCTATTATTATATCAGTTAATAATTCATATACAATTAAAATGAGGTGACTCTTCTGAATAAACAATAAAAGAAGGGTTATTATCAGTTAAAAAATGTTTAAGGAAGATAAACAGAAAGTAAATTATTTGATAAATTCCTTTATTTAAACATTCTTCACTAAAACAGAAATAAATAAGATAACTCCCGTTTGTATTGACATCAGAGGATTATACACGGACAAAAATGTCAGAAGAATGCACCAACACAAGATCAGTAGTTTAACCGCATGTGCCCAAGAAAAGAATAAAATAAAAGAACAAGAGAACTAAAACTTACATTTCCTGGAGATGAAGCAGGACTAGCGGGAGAATTATCTTCTCCGGATAAGAACAAATGACAGCTCTTGTACCCACCTTCTTCCCTTGATAGTGCATTGATGTCTTTACCCTCACCAAAATTTTCTTGAGAAATTGGCAGATCCTAGATAATTTTCAGACAAAAAAGACACCCAGGCTAATCAGCACAAGTAATCTCAGCATAAACTAAATTAAAGACACAATTCTTCTTGAGCTTTAGGGTTACATTTTAGACCCTTAGAGTTTAGAGCGTACATATATTCACAGGTAAATTTGTAAGTGTACCTAAAAGTTTAAAAACTTTGATTTTTGCATTTATTTGGGGTTATTCCAATGCCATGGAAATGCTGATAGAAATCTATTTGCCAAAACCTAAATGATCCCAAATTTTTCCATATCAAGATAAATGTGATACAATGTTAAATTAAGGAGATTTGAATTCATTTGTTCAAGTAAAAGCTACTAACACTATTGGAAGCAACAAACGTTAAAGTAAAATAATGATTACTTGTGTGGAAACAAGTTATGAAACCAGGGTAAAGCTTACATTTAAATCCACCAAAAAATTAAAAAACAAAAATTAAAGAGGGAGCGAAAACGGGAAAATAAAATTTCAACCTTCACTTTTTCATTGGAATGAATTTGGGACTCCTTTACATATTCACAAGATCCATCTGCTCTAAGATTCTGAAACCAAGCAGGAACCCAAGCTACATCCTGTAACATACGCATGCGCTAAGTAGCCTTCAAATTGACCATTATAGCAACGAAATTGTAAGTGAAAAGGAGCCAGTATGGGTACATTGAAAAGAAGTAACATTTTGATATATTTGACTGTCTCTCAAAATCATAAGCAAAGAAGTAAATTGGTGATAAAAAGGAAATATACTTGTATTGTTGTTTTTTATGTTACTCATGGATCTCAAAAAATTAAAATCTTCAACATTTAAATACCGTATACCACATATGAACGCATTTTTTCCCGGAAAACAAATCTTTGGCAGAAGTTTGGTATTTAAAAGACTAAAGATTCTTTATCGTGGTATCAATTTAGGATTCCGGCTTTGGAGCTCGAACAAGAAATGTGCTTCCAAATGGAATTAAGGTTCGAATCCCAAGGATCGAGAATATCGGAGATCAACAACAATTCATCACATGTAAAGAGCAAGGAACAAGACGGCAGTTATACGGCAATTCATGGTCACACTTCGCACGAAAAATGAAAGAGGGAAAGAAAAATCAGCTGTCTATTGATTTTAAATCAGCGCAAGACAGATGATCGAAAAACATGAATGAATAAAGCATCACAAGTGTTCTAACCTCGGAGAACTGGGGAGGACGAAGCCGTAAGCTGGCCATCTGAGAGGCGGCAGTGAGGGGAGAGCTCAACGCCATGGAAGAGAGCCAGAGGAAGAAGCAGCTCTGCGAAGAAAAATTTGGCGCGAAATGGAGCCACCCTTTGGGTGAAGACGCGCCAAAACCGAACGTGCTATCTACTGAAATTTTTTTAAATGTTATAATTTTTTTTCCCCCGAGGCCTGCACTGGTTTATTGTCACCATTTTGTCTATTTCTCGGTATTTTTTCCCATCTTATCCGTTTTTTGTTTTTTGTTTTTTTTTTAATCTCTATCCCGTTTATTATTAATATGTGATTGTCAAGCAGTAGGCTTTTTATTAATAAAAAATTGGAAATTTTCAGGCCAAAAAAATAAAAAAATAAAAAAATTGGAAGTTTCAACTTTCAAGTAACATGTTAACTTCAGCATTGTTTTTAGTAGTAATATTTTGTGCGCAACCCGCTACCTAGCATGGTAAATTTTAGAGTCCCAACTTCCAAACCTCTTAATTATTACTCCCTCTACTCCTCTAATTCTATTTATAAAATAAAAAAAAAGATTTTTCTTAATTCTATTTATAAGTCACTTTGTTAAAGTTTTAACATAAATTTACTATTTTGCTTTTTATTTATTATACTGTAAATATTATTTTTTTAAAGATGTATATATATTAAATAGGATAAAATTGAAAAATTATTATATCTTAATGACGAGTTAATGCAATTTAAAATTTTTTTTAGTCTGTACAAAACATGCTAAAAATACTTCATAAATTGGACCAAAGGAATCTACATTAAGTTGATTAAAATTACTTAAAAATAATATATATAAATTACAACTTATTTTCTTAAATAATTAATCTTTTGATCCCTATAGTTTTAACTCATTTGAAACTCAATCCTTATACTGCAACTCAATGCAACTTACTCCCTCCGTCCCTTATTATAAAATTTAATTTTTTAAATGAGTTTATCCCTTTTTATGAAATCCTCTTTGAATTTGTTTGAGCATTTAATGCAGTATTACCTATTTTATCCCTAATTTAATGTATTTAATATATTCTCTTTTTTTATTTATCTCACTATTACTTTATCATATTTATCCATTTATATATAGGAGTATATTTGGAAAAAAAACTGCATTTACTACATATTAATTGCTTTTAACTATTTTTAACTATTTTTTAAACCGCACAATTTAGTTAAAAAGATCTTATAATAAGGGACGGAGTAGTAGTTCTTATAGTTTTGACTCAGTTATAACTCAATTATGAAATCTGACTCATTGTAACTCAGTCCCCCTAGTTTTATCCATTTTATAATTTAGTTATTATGTTTTAGAAAAATAAAATTATATATCTAACAAAACGAGGGCTAAATTATATAATTGTCACAAGTATCGAAAGTTGCAGCGAGTTAAATTTTAAAAACTGATTTATAATTGAGTCAAAACTACAAAAACTGAATTGTACTTAGTCAAAATATAAAAATTGAGTTACAAAAAAATAAAACTATAGGGACCAAAAGATTAATTATCCCCTGAAAAATATGTTAACAGAATAATTAATGTAGTGAGACTGCTGCTCTTGAGTCTTGTGAGAATCTCAAGGGGCATTCTTCACACTGACCGCTGACCAGCTTAAGGAGATGTAACATTTGTTTATCAATCGCTATTATATAATCTTTTTCATTTGAAGTGTCCTAGAATAAAGATTTGTTGAATACATGCACAATCACATATGTATATCTCCTAAACTTGGATCCTAAAGTTTTAAAATTTATGGTACAATGAATTATAGAGTATTGCACATACTACGCATTCCCGCCACCATTAACGCATCAAAGATAAGTACTTATCTGGCAAGTGCGTGTGCGCGTCCACGTATATAATCATTATCATATGATTCACTGGTAATATAATAGACATAAGCCTGAACCCCTGTCAACATCCACTATTGTCAAACTCACAAGTTGACTCTTCGAGTTTAACGTTTTTATGTTTTCAGCTAACAAAATCGTGTCGACTTGTTTTTAAACTCGTCATAACTGTAAACTCAGTTAAACTTACGAGTTCATTTATCGAGTTCACCGTTTTTATGTTTTTAGCTTACAAAATTATATCAACTCGCTCTTAAACTCGTACTAAATTTTTGAATTTGATTATGTTTATTGAATTTATATATGATTTTTATAGAAATTTCTTTGTTGAATATGATAAATTATGAACACAGATAGATATAATTTCAATTATTTAAATTTAAAATATATTTAAATGAAATTGTTCTCTTTTTTTTATATATTAATTATTTACTTTTAATATCAGTTTATTAATAAAAGTAAACTCTTACAAATTTACGATTCGAGTTTACAATTCGAATTTACATCATTATCACGAGTTTGTTTAAACTAGCAAGCTTGACAACCTTCTCAACATCAGCCATTGGTAATAAATATTACAAGAAAAACAAAACCAGGAAGAAGTAGCCGGCCTCATAAGCTCCAAATGGCACTTGTTCTAACTTCCCTTTGACCCCCATCAATGGATTCCCCTATTTATATATCTAAAGAACTACAACATAGGAGGAGGAAGAAGGAATCATTGAGAATGGCTAAGATGATGCCGTTTCACAGGAGGATGGAGAAGGACGACGATCTCATCCTTTTCAAAGATTTGCAGAAGCAGAAGCGTGAGAATGAGCGAAACTCAAGCCTCCTTCGTCCTGTTTCCTCAGACGACTATGAATGTGACTCAAAAGGTAAAAGCAACTAAAGTTTCTTTTCTTGCTTCTTCTTCACCACTGATACCCTTTATGATTCCGGGGAACATTGATTGACACCCGATCAAGTCAATAAGCTTATGAGAAAGTAGAAAGCACAGAGATTTTCAGAGTAAGAGAATGTCGACCGATCAAATAATGTGAGACTGTAATTATGGAGAGATAGGTTGAGAAGCGCTTGAAGATATTTGAGTGATATTTTAAGACAAGTATAGGCCTCCGCAACAATCCAGTCAAAAAGCATATGAGAGAGGATGAAAGTATATAGGTTTTGAGAGTGAGAAAATGGTATTGTTCATGATTATAGAGGGGTAGGTTGACTGTCTCTTGAAGAAAATCTTTTTGGCTGCACTGATCCATTCTTTACTTCCCACCTTCAATATATGCTTGAATTGTAGTGTTTGATATTCAGGAAATAAAACAAGGAAATATTTTGCAGGAAAGTATTCGCTTTACAGAATTCCTTCAGGGAAGAAGGAATCCAGTTATGAGTTTCTCACAGAAAACCACAAAAATGATTATGATTGGTAAGTGTAATGTCTCATTGTTTCCGTGTGTATATAATATATGTATGTATGTAGGCATATTTAGATGTCTGCACGAGGAAATCATGGTGTCTTTTCGACTTGTATTTGACAAATGAATGATACTAGGAGAGATTTCCAAGGAGATATATCAGTAAACATTTTCATGGATAGTGATCATATGTTGGTAATTTATTGTATGCCCTATAAAAATCAAATCCTTCTACCATATGCTGGGAATCAATAACTTACATAGATACCTCTTAGAAGAAAGAATTAAACCCTTTGCTTTATTTCTATTCTAGTTAATCTTGATTCTGACATTACAAATCCATTGACATTTTCTCAAGAACTGAATATTTTTATCTGCATATACTGCAATTTCCTCCAAATCCAAGTAAGAATGCTAGTTTTACTTGTACAGTGTGTTATGACAGAAAAGTGCTCATAAATGTGTAGTCATCATTGACTTAATTTACCTACCATAAATAAAATTGATCTACTTTAGAATTTCGCAGTACTTTAGTGTGAATTTGACTTCATTCTGTTTGTAAGCATTATTTTTATTTTAAAATCAAGGAAAATAATTTCACCATTAACATGTGAAACACTAGGTTAAAAACACCACCGGCAACTCCTCTATTTCCGTCTCTAGAAATGGAAACAGGTGCTCCTACTGATCCTCAACTTGTTCAAAAGGAGTTACCAATCATACAGCCTCTTTCAAGGGTATGTCATTTATCTCTTTCTTCATATCTCTCAGCCTTTTGTCTAAGTCATGAAACTTAATGCATACATAGAAAGAACAAGAGTTCAGAATTTTCCACCCTTCATAAAAATTCATAACTTCTTTGCTACCCATCATCAAACGAGTAACATTTGAGCAAAATAGAGGAATTTGATTATTAGCTTTGGATTTCATGATTAGAGCATAAAAAAGGAAAGACCTGTTCTACCTTAGAACTTCTAAAGAGATTGTCTTTTAGACTCTACAATACGTGCTCTATATTTTTTTTCTTGCGCAGATGTTCTTTGATTTCACGAGTAATGCTATAGAGAGCTCTACCTCCCTAGAGGCTGAACATGTTAATATTTTATGTGTTTCGAGATTTTTCATTTTAATAAGTAAATAATCAAAGTTATAATCTTAAAAGTGCAAGTAATGGTGAAATAGCTCAAACACTCGATATATAGAATTATCCCTTTTAATCACATGCATAAAGGCAACATATGCCAAAGTTTTCCTTGTAGCCTAAGCTTAAAATGGCTTGTTCATAAACAGTTTGTAACAGGTTTTGACATCTGAGAATCTATTTTCTAGTATGCCTATTTAATTGTTTTAATTACTAGATAGAATTATTAAAAAGAATATGTGTCAACTAAACAATACTCCTCTTGCATTCCATTAATGATGGGAAAACCATTCTTAAGGTACCTATTTTCTTTTAATTTTAACTAGCAAAATCCCCCGTGCAATGCACGGGCCACAAGAATGTCAATCAATGACTACTATCGTCTATTAAACATCACTCAATGTGGAGACATCATATCAAAATGAGATTAGAGCAACTCTTTTAAAACATATGCCGCTAGTTACATTGCCATGAACTTTGCAGAACATTACTCAATGATTTGAATAGAGAGGGATCCAAATGCCACAGAAAAGCAAAATAAGAAAAATATTATGGAGGTACATACATGCGGCAATAGTCGTGGTGCGCAAGTACAGCAGCAACTTAAGATCATCATCAAATAACACCCTTGTGGCACCCCAAAATGAGCTAAGCACAGATCCAGTTGCATATAACAACTATAAGTATGATAAAATATCTCGCTCCATCCAATAAATATTGAATCTTGCTATTAATAGAAATTACAAACATGAACTTGTGACTTATTTAACAAATGAAGGGAAAATTGTCATATCATGATTCTTATAAACCATGCCAACAGCATATTGTGTAATTAGAAAATCCCCAGCTCTCACCCCCTAGCTTTTATCTTGGCAAGAGTAACGGCAGCATACTCATCATAAAGCTTAATACTCAACTCCTTTGGTTGACTGACAAAATTTAATTTCCATCACCTCAAAAAGATGAAAGCATCAGTATGTAAATTAAAATGGGATAACACATTAAGCTTACAAGATCAAAACCACAATACCATCCTTTTGACGCGAACCTCCAATTCCTTCCTATATATTCCAATAAGCTTTGTAGGACTAACAAAACTCCAATGTTTCAAAAGTCCATAAATATCTGCATCACCCAAAACTTTTTTAGAAATCAGATTCACCTTCAAGGCTTCAACCATTCACAAATTAAAAATCGTGACAAAATCTTGTCATTCAAAAAAAAATTCTTCAAATATTCCACCATAAATTTCAAAAACATTTTTCAAGTTAAATGAATAACAGGGAAACTCATCTATTCTCTTCACAACCTCAGTTGAAGCAATGAAACATATATCTGTCATGCAGACCAAGACCACCAACATGAACATTAAAAGCAAAAATTTGGTACACACCACCTTCAACAAACTTTGACGCAAGTTGCTCACTGTGATCATTAGTCATTAAAAAAAAACATATTTACTGTTACTATTATATTATTTAGAGTAAAAAAATTATTATATTCTTATAAACAAACCCTAAGCGCTCTCCTATAAAACCTTCTTTTTCCTATTCACTCTTTTCTACTATTGTCTCCACACTAGTCAGGTATTATTCTTCTCCCATTCTTTCCTCAAGTCAATCACCATTTTTCTTTAGTTTATTACCACATAATCTCTTTCATTCTCATATCTTCATTGTTCTTTTTCGTCCTCTTTCCTTTGCTATGAAGATTAATAAGACCTCCTCTTGTACAGCATCAAACCCTACGAATTAAAGCATACATTGTTCGTGGCAAAAAGGAGCACAAGTCGTTCACCAAAAAAAAAAAAAAGGAGCACAAGTCAGCCAAACATCCTGTCAAACCCATTCACCACCAAAATTAATTAGGGATGTTTTTCCAGGAAATTTCAGCCAATCCATTTACTAAATAAGTAAGCCCATAAAATAAGGATATGGACAACATTAGTATTGTAAGACATTTTAATAAGAAACCTAAAAGAGCTACCACAAAAAGTTACAAACCATACACCTTGACCTGCAACACATCCCAGAAGATTTTCACGACCAAGCAAATACTACAAGATAAGTCCATACCGATTTTCTACCTTTGAAAATATCATAACTTGTGTTCCCAAAGTTGATTCTCTTTCAAGAACCTTCAACCAACTTTCTTAAGGTGTAAGTCTATAAAATAAGGATCTGAACAATAACAGAATTATATGTCATATAAATAAGAAAACCAATAGACTTACCACAAAAATATAGATGACCATTTCTTTCGTACTGGATCAACTTCTACATAAAATAATCATTAAACAAAAAATACATGAATTTAACATATAATGAATTTACCCATTATTTATTGGGTAGATTTTAGAAGGAAAAAAAATCCACTACAATGGTTAAATTAGGCTAAATAATAATAAAAATTCCAAATTCAACTCCAAACAAATTCCTGCATCCTCCACGTGCATGAACTTCCCATAAACTGAGGACTACCACGCCTTTATGATATGCATAATTCTTATACGACAACTACTCCACCTATTTCAAAATGCTATAATTTATTAGCAAACAAATTCATAGACTTATATTTCATAAATTTAAATGCAAAGAGCAAACATTGGGAGAATTTAATTCACATGTCTGCTTGATGCTGCATTTCAAAGAGAACATTGATTAAAAATATCGGACCCATAATCCAACTTTTGACATCATTGAATACTATCAGATCTTCAATCGCACCAAGGGTAATGACCAACACCCCGCTTTGTTATCACCACACAATAGGGTGGCATATATCTATTAACAGATCTTCTCGGGAAAGAAGTCTTGGAACACGTGACCATACATGCAAGATTACTCTTTTCCCTTTTATTATTATCCTTCATCCTAAAACCTATCCATAGCATAAATAAATTACAAAAACCAAGCCATATTAAAAAAAACGTAGCACAGCAGCAATAACAGGGACAAAAACAACAAACACCAGTAACTGCATATATGACAATTAAATGGATAATTCATTAAAGTCTGTAACATAATTGCAAAGCATAGAATAGCAACAATAAAAGAAACAGCACCATCACTCAAGGAACTGATGATTTAATGTATCAATCAGTTTCCCAGAAATAATTATAAAATAAAACGTTACAAAAAAAAAGCCACATAAATCAAGCACATATTACAATTATTTTGTAACTTCGGAATGGATAAATTAGGTGCTGCATGCATTCTGGATAAAGGTATGCTTTTCACAGCAATCTCAAGCTGTGACTCACTTAAATAACTAAAAAGTAAACAAACAAATATACAAATAAGATAATGAACAACCATAATGCGTAATCAGATAAAATATGGATTTTGCCATTTTTAAAAGGAGAAAGACATGACTCCGTTAACATAAATTCATTTTTAAAACTCTGAACCACCATACTTGATTGGCTTGTGTTTAGAGAGCCATATAAACAATGAAAATGGACATGAAACTGTAAAATGAAAAACCCATAAATTGTGGCAATCTATAAATTCCAATTGCGAAGAAAAAACAAATTTGTGTGCAGATTGTCTGTGATGCAACAAATGCTTTAAATATATAAGATTAGCATATCTTACCCCGCCTTAGAGATCCGCATACCTGTGGCTGCAAACCTTCCATCTCCAATTCAACACTCAGCTATGTATTTTGGACTGAAAGTTTATTACCACTACCTCGATTTTGGATTCCAGCACCTAGATTTCTCCCTCTAAATCCCCTTCACCTGCTTGTGTTCATGCTCCTTGTTGCCCATCCCCGTTGTTGATTTCAACAAAAATCTAGAGCGTTAAGAATAGAAGAAATTAAAATTTATAGATGAGAGTGATAGAAACAAAGGAGAAGGGAGAATGTGCCTGGAAAATAAATCAAAACGAAAACTGAGGGGAAAAAAACCAGAAGAAGGGAGTTATCAGATACAAACCTTTTGGTAATAAGCCATGTCAATCGCCTCATTTCCAAGCTGGGTACTTATACAAAGAATATTAGAGTACTCTGTTTCCTTCGTCTAAGTTAGATTGATGAGGTTTCCTATGGCAACGACGAGCGCAATGAGGCAGAGGGAGATGAAGAGTGACAGAAAAAGTGTTGGAAGCAGAGAGGAGCATATGAGAAGAAAACCAAACTTAAAAAAGAAGAAAGACAGATACAGAGAGAAGGGATGATGAAAAAGGAATTTCAAAATTTAAAACTGATGACTTCCCGCTAAAAAAAAAGAGAGAAACAAAGCCACATACGAGCTGCCACTGTTCATAGAGCCATTACTGTTCATAGAACAGTAAAAATAGAGCAGAGCCGTTCAGGATTTGTAAATGGCTCAGCTTGCCATGGATTTTGATTTATTATGATATATAGATTGAGTATCTATATCTTTTTCTTCTTATTAAATCTTTCAGTTTTACTCTATTAGCATTGTTAGACCATGTACAAGAACTAATTGTGCTAACAAATTAAAATTAAAATTAAATGATTTAATATGAAGAGAAAACTCAGGTGCCTAATTAAAAATTGAAGGAAACCATAGGTTCCTCAATAATGGTTTTCCCCATAAATGGTTGTCATATTAATCAAGTTCATGTCTAAAATTCAGTTTGCAGGGAGTGATTTGGAGGCCTCAAAGCCAGAAACAAGTGAAGGTAGAGCAAATCATATGAACTCGTCAAAACCAAAACTTTCCACGAGATCAACAACCCCCAGTCATAGTAGACAGAGACCTAGCATTGTCAAGAACAACACAGATGAGCAAGAATCAAGCATTCTCTCTACCAAAAACAACAGTAATAGTAAACTCCACATGGCTATTACGGCTTCCAATGTTAAAACGACCAACCAGAAGCAAGGTAGCAATGCTTATACCATAGCTTTGAACCTTAAAAAGAGCCAAGAAGTGAACGACCCAAAAAGGATGGTCAAAAGTAGGGGTATTTCACCTTTCGTGAGGTCAAGTGTTGCAGCTCATATTACAAAAGAATTCCCAGACAAGGCACCACCAAATCTACGGACAGATCATCGGTCAACATCTGCTACTCGAGGAAGAATCAGTAACCCAACATTTGCTACAGTTGGGTTTCAGAACCATGATACCACTCCTAGAGCAAGTAGACAATCACGTTCACCATCCCGTAGTGTGTCCCATGGTAAGAAGCAATCAGATGGAATCCAGAAAGAGTGGAGAAACCACAAGGAAAGATCAGTATCAGGCAGTGGAGAAAGCAGAACTCATCTAAGGGGAAGTAAGATGGTCGAAAAAGTGGTGAATGCTAGAAGGTCTGCCAACAATCAAGCTGAGAGAGAAACAAAACCCAAGCCTCTCAAATATAGAGCATAATTCATCCTCTCCTTGCACTTTGCTGAGTTAGTGGGAAATAGGAATTACTACAATATCAGTTGCTATTCAAATGTAGAGATATGAAGCCGAGTATGCTCCAGCAGGCAGTAATGTTTTTTATGCTTCGCATGGCTTGAAACTATACAAAAGCAACTTAAGAAAAGCTGCTAGATAGAGATCTCTGAAATTTTTGATTTGATTTTAAGAAACTTGGACCATGTAGAAATTTCTATATGCTTTTTTAACATGCAGCTCTTGAACAGTATGTGATCTCAATCAGTTAACATCACATAGCTTATATAATCAGCAGAATTTGAAATTAGGTTCTGTAATGGATGATGTATATAAGGTAATAACTAGCCTTATATAATCTTTAAATAACTATTAGAACGAGATCAATGAAAGTAAAAATTGTCATGAGTAAAGGGTTGAGAATCACCTTTGGATATCAAACAAAATTGTGGGAATACCGAAAAGCTTGGGATTTAAAGGAATATTATTTGATTCTTTATTATTTAATTCTTTATCATTGTACCTTAGTCAACTCTTGGCTTTTATTCCTCTTTATTACTGGTTGATTTCTTTCCTAGGATAGATGCTTATCAGCATTATATATCCCTGTACATACTCTCGACTTGTATCAGAATAATACAAAATATATTTTGCTCAAAATACTCACATGGTATCTGAGCGTCTGTGGGTATTTATCATCAAGTAGTTTTGTACGATTACCATGTCGCTATCTCTTCACAAAATTGAGTCGAGCAAGTCGACTTTGGAGCCCATGGATCCCTTCTATCCCGTCCGACATCTCGCATGGAAGGGAGCTCTGTTTTGATCGTCCTAGAGAGACTCACCGAAGACAACTATCAAGAGTAGGCCCAATCTGTATGACTTTCTGTTGAAGGTTGTGGCAAATTGATTTACCTCACCGGCGATGCTCGTTGTCCCCTGTCTTCCAACTCCCAAGCTTTGCTTCTCTGTAAGACCAAAAATTTCATGGTCTCCTCCTGGTTGATCAACACCATGATTCCGTCCATCAAGCGGAGCTTCATGTTTCTGCTGACAGCACATGAAATATGGGAAGCAGTGAGGGAGGCTTAATCGGATGGTCTCCCAAGTCTTTGAACTCAAAACCAAACTTTGGTAACTAAAGCAAGGTACTGGAACCTTGAGTGATTACTATCTAATAATGATCGCTTTGTGGCAGGAACCTGATCTCCATAACGATGACACATGGCAATACGCCGAAGATGCTGCCCTGTACGAAAAGAAGGGGGAAAAGGAACGACTCTTTGAGTTTCTTGCCAGTGTTGACTCTGAAATTGATGCAGGGATCATTTATCGAGGGGAGTTCCCTTGCCCTCTGTTCGTGAGGCTTTTGCCGGTGCGGAGAGAAGATTTCCGTCGGCAAATCATGATGTCACCTTCTGGAGCTGCAACCAATACTCTCGAATCCTCTGCTTTGATTGCCCGCAACACTGAGAGTGAGAACTAGAAACTCAAGCCTATCTGTGAGCATTGTAAGAAGACGGGGCATACCAAAGATACATGTTGGGATATGCACGGCAAACCTGCTGATTGGAAACCAATGAAGGGCGGAGGGTGTGGGTATGCTATTGGTATAGAAAGGAGTGAAGCAAAACCTACTACTTCCCCAACAAATGATCAACTCTCAAAAATAATATAAATGCTTAGTATTTTACAAACCTCTGGACAATCATCACGCTCACAACCAACTGCTAGTGTAGTACACCAAGGTAAATCTTTGCACGCTTTGAATGCAATTCAAAGCTCGTGCATTGGTAAATGTTGAATAATTGATTTTGGTGCTTCCGATCATATGATCGTTAATCATGATCTATTTATTTCTTACGCGCCTTGTGATGGTAGTCAAAATTGCTGATGCATCTTTATCCAGTGTTACTGGCACTGGGGTATTCATGTATCTAAACACCTTGTCCTTCACACTGTTTTACATGTTCTCAAATTAAAATGTAATTTGATTTCTGTGCACTAAATTACTAAAGGATAAACAATGTCACGCTGATTTCTAAGACACTCATTGTTTATTCCAGGACTTGTCAACTAGTTTTTCATATCTCATTAATATGTTTCCTTCTAGTTTTCTTAACAAAAATATCTCTGAACTATGTTGTGAAATTTTTGAACTTATCAAACATCATTGTGTTACTTTTTCCTAAACTATTTATCAACCCTCCTCACTTTTTACTATAATTCACAGTGATTTATAGGGGTCTAGTTGCCTTACAGAGTGTACTCACCACAAATAGTTTGTGACCTTTGTTGATGATCACCACTCGACTTTGCTAAACTTATTTACTAAGAAAAAACTGAAGTTTACTGTGTTTTTGTAAATTTTTATCGCATGATTAAAAATCAGTTTAATACCTCTATTAAGATCTTTCGTACAGAAAATGGTACAAAATATATCATTCACTACTTTGCTCAATTCTTTCAAACCAATGGCATTATTCATAAAAGCTCATGTCCTCACAGCGCCAAAAAAAGGGAATTGCCGAACGCAAGAATCATCATATTCGAGAAGTCATCATGCTGTTCTCTTTACTCATAATGTCCCCAAATTTTACTGAGTGATGCCATCCTTACTATGACATTCCTCATTAATAGAAAGCCCAGTAAAGTTCTCTCCTTCCAAACTCCTTTTGAGGTCCTCCAGAAAACGCATTATGTCCCTTATCTTGAAAATAATCTTCTCCTTAAAGTGTTTGGGTGCTCTGTTTTTTTTTCACCTCCATCAGTAAGGTAAACTTGATCCTCGAGCAGTTTTGCAATTTTTCTCGAGCATTTGTCTTCACACAAAAGGTATAAATGCTATAACCCTCTTACAAGAAAACTATACTTTAGCTGTGATGTCACCTTCAATGAGTCTGAACTTTTTTACTTGTAGTCTTCAATTCAGGGGGAGAGTTGGGAGGAATTGAAGGCTTTTAAAAATACATTTGAAACCTATCCTTACGTGGAGTATGAACCTCCCATTACTCTTAAAACAAAGGTGAATCCCAATGAGGGGGAGAAAAAAAAAACAAAAACAAAAACAAAAGAACTTTGACGGGATGTACAAGAGAAGAAATAAAAGTACAGACAAGACAGTAATTCCTGATGCACCCCATGCACCTGAACAGATGATAGTTCCTAAAACTGATAAATCTAATGCTATTAGTGTTGATGAACAAGCAAGAAATATTGGTTGTGTTTGGTAGGAAGCATTGAAAATGAGATATTAGGATTGAGATTGCAATTGAGAAAATTTATTAAAAGAATGTTTAATATAAGAGATTGGTTGTTATATAGAATTAGACAAACCCATGTATGTGGGATTGGAGAATACCATAGAGAGAAATGGTATTCCCCAATCTCATCTTTATGGGTTTGCCTAATCCCATATAATAAACAATTACTCATGCTAAATATTATTTTAATGATTTTTTCAATTGCAATCACAATCTCAATCCTTCATTTTTAATGCTACGTACCAAATGACACCATAGATCTTACAAGAAGCATGGAATCTGATTTGGATATCCCTATAGCACAAAGGAAGAAACCGTGAAGCTGTACTCGACATCCCATTGAGAAACATAAATCCTACAAAGCTCTTTCTCCTCGGTTCTTGGCCTTTACTAGCAACTTGGACAACATAAAGATCCCAACAAATATTGAAGAAGCTCTCAAATCCCCAAGCTAGAAAAAAGCAGTAATGGAGGAAATTGATACACTAAAAAGGAATGCCACCTGGGAAGAAGTAGCTCTCTCGCAAGGAAAAAGGGTAGTAGGGTGTAAATGAGTATTTGCAGTAAAGTACAAAGATGATAGAACAATACACAAGTATAAAGCAAGACTCGTGGCAAAAGGCTTCTCTCAGGTTTACAGTACAGATTATACGAGTTGAAGCAATCACCCCGTGCATGGTTTGAACGATTTACATAGGTTCTCAAGACCGAAGGCTATACTCAGGGGCAACATGATCACACATTCTTCAAACACCATGGAACTAAGAAAACCATCCTAAGCGTCTATTAGATGATATAGTCCTTATAGGAGATGATTATAAAGAGATAGATAAGACAAAAGTAGCAATGGCAAAAGAATTCCAAGTAAAAGATTTAGGAGAAATGAAGTATTTTCTTGGAATGGAGGTGACTCGATTTAAGAAGGGAATCTACATCTCCCAAAGAAAATATTTACTTGATCTTCTTAGGGAGACAGGAATGATGGGTTGCAAGCCTAGCTCCACACCAATTGAAGTAACAACTAACCGAGAGAAGAAGAAGAAGAAGAATGACAAAAAGGAAGAAGATGAAGAGGAAAGCTAAGAAGAAAAAGAGGAAAATGAAGGTAACAATATTGATAAGAGCAAGTATCAAAGACTAGTGGGGAAACAAATTTACCTTTCCCATACTAGACCAGATATTGCATTTACCAGGAGTGTAGCCAATCAACACTCCTAAGCTCCTAAAGAAAAGCACGTCAAGGTGGTGTATAAAATCTTGAGATACCTAAAAGGTATACTTGGAAAGGGCATTCTATACAGAAGATCTGAGAAAACAAGCATAGAAATCTTCACAGATAAAGATTATGCAGCTGATCATGGAGACAGAACATCCACAACAGGCTACTGCACATACGTATGGGGAAATCTAGTTACTTAGAGAAGCAAAAAACAAAATGTGATTTCGAGAAATAGTGTTGAGTCAAAATATAGAGCCGTTGCTCAAGGCATATGTGAACTAATCTAGGTTAGGCGAGTCTTAGAGGAATTAGACATTGAAATGGACCTGCTAATAAATCTTTATACTAACAGTATGGCAGCCATCAACCTCTTTCACAATCCTATTCAACATGATAGAACTAAGCATGTTGAAGTTGACAAACACTTTATTAGAGAGAAAATTGATGGGGGACTAGTAAAATTGACACACGTGTCCTCATGCAATCAGAATGTTAAAAGGGCCTACATGAAGAACTATTTGAAGAATTTATGCATGAGCTAGATATAATTGACATCCATAATCCAACTCAAGGGGGAGTATGGGGATACCGCAAAACTTGGGATTTAAAGGGATATTATTTGATTCTTTATTATTTAATTATTTACCGTTGTATCTTAGTCAAATCTTGGCTTTTATTTCTCTTTATTACCGGTTGATTTCTTTTCTAGGATAGATGCTTATCAGCCTTGTATATCCCTGTACATACTATCAACTTGTATCAGAATAATACAAAATATATTTGCTCAAAATATTCACAAAATTATGCTAGTAAGTTGGGATGTACATGTTGCACCTCATTTGCAGGAGAACCTTTATATTCAACAAACTAAAGCAATATATCACCAAAATCCAAAAAAACTTTATAAGGAGTCTCCTATAATAGATAGCGCTTATTTCCATGAACCAAAATCAATGGACTGAAGAGATATGCGGCCAAGGTACAAATCTCGCAGATGTTGCTTACACAACCCAATTCGTCGTTTACTTAGGCTTGGATGGATGCAAGTTGAAAACCCGGTCTTCCAGCTTGGAAACTTCTGCCTTTCCATAACATGAAGATTATAGACACTTGGTGCTGCAGAGGAGCACCCAATAACAAAACAATTACAAGGTCTTGACTGTGTCACTAATCTTGCCAGAGACAACAAACACACACCACTGTAGGAAATTCCATACATTAATGACTCATCATTATCAAAAACTCCAACATCCAAAGCTTCATTTGTCATCTCATTCTCTATCTCCTCAATTAATGGAAGCTTGCTGAGTTCCTGGTCAAACCGCTTCTCTATCTCAGTTTCATGTATCCGATACTTTGCCGCTAAAGTACGGATACATGATTTCCTAACCACATCAAAAATCAGGAGCTTTACCTCATTAAAGTTGACACAAATTTGATACCATCTTAGCCAGCGGCGAACAATCCCTGAAAACCAGTCAATAATTTCAGCAGTATCTTGCAAGATAAGTAAAGTGGCAGGGCGAGGACATCCACTTGACGTGACCAATCCATATCTCTGAAGACGTTTTTTAATAGCACATATAGGAGCAATAATCTCAGTTTTTTTAATTTCATGTTGTCTTGAGATGTCATAATTTGACAAAAGCTGAATTGTAGAAGCTGTCTCAGAGGATACATACTTATCCACCTGTTTTAGAAATTCATAGTAGGAATCTTTAAGCTCTTGAGGTAAAGATGGTTCTGCAACACACTTAGATAGGATGATTTCTTCACTTGCAGCATTTTTAGCTTGAACAGCTTCCATCCATATTTTCATTAAATGTTTATACCAGTGGTCAGTTTCCATTCCAGACTTGCGGAAGCAGGAAATACTGTTTAGCAAAGAGCTATTATTAGCAAGATGTTTGATTTCTGATTCCTTAACCTTCTTTAAACCATGACCCAGCCATTTCTTCCCAATTCTAGTGGTCCCATAAGTCCAGGCCTCTTCCCTTTGTAAAGCAAATAACTCTACTTTTTTCTTTAACTTGTGAACAGCTTTAACTGCAGGACTCTCTCTAACATTTCTTCTAAGTGAAATTCCCAGGAAGCGAATAGTATCAGGTCCATCACAAGGTAGTATATCTGTTTGATCATCCACGTCCAAAAACAAAGAGTCCTTTAAATAACTTTGGATCTCAGTCTTCAAATTAATAGCAGATTCTCTAGAACCAGAAACTGAAAAAAGTATCTCATCCATAACACGGCAGGAGTATACTTTGAGATCAGGATTCCCTTCAACTACGTACTTAGGATCGTGGCCTTTCAACTGTCTCCTGAACCAACTGCGCAATTTGGACCATGATTTATCTTGATCATCACAACTTCCACCACTAATAGCTTCATATTTCATTGACAACCTGTAAAATTCCCGATCAAAGAGGTCAAAATATATATTCATTAGAATAGAGGATAAAACCCCTTCTTGTGGAAGACCATGGCCCTTTGGGAAACCTCCAAACTCAAAATTTAGTACCTGGGCATCAAACATGCTCCAAATCATAGCATATAATTTCGGGTCTGCTATCTTGTCCTCCATTTCTGAGATGAGCTTAGTTAAGACAGCAGCATCTAACTTTTTGGTTACTTGCAATGTGAACCACCAGTCAGGATTTGAGATCCCTTTGCAGATGTACTTTAAAGCCGTGGAGTGTCCTCTGCCACTTCGACATCCATGTGAAATTTTGGAAAAGTGTGGCCTGTAAACAACTTCCAAGGTAATCCTCATAGCTTCTTGAAGAACCTTCAACTTTAAATTGGGGAGGACGAGAACTTCTTTGTTCGCACCTCTAGTTGAAATAGTGAAGGTATTGGCAGTGACATCAAAACCCCCATCGCATAGCCCTTCTGCCAAGGTATTGAAACTGCTGTCATAGTTCAAATCCACATCAACATTAGAGTTAAGCCTAAGGCAATTGTAAGCATCCTGAAGAGTTTCCGGATTGGAAATCACTTTTTCCATTAAGTCCTGAAATTTCCCATTCACATATTGCTCCTTCACTCTCTTTTTTATGCGGTATTCAAGCAATCTCTTGAGCTCCATTCGACTCTTTGTTTTTTTCTCAGCAACTTTAGAAGATTCCTCAACAAGATTGGCCAGGTCATTCGCCAATGTAAATTTCCCAAATTCCTTATCCATGTTATCATCAGCAACTGGCATCACCGAATAGGCGCCTTCTTGTATTCTATCAAGAGGTTTACCTGATACAATGAATACCGATTTTCTTATATACACAAAAAACTACCACTTGAAGAATTCTTCCGTCATTCAAAATTGAAAGTATCTTATGAATAAATCAGTCAATGGCTAAGTTTATTCTTATTATAAAAACAAACATAACCATGCCATAATCAGAGTTAGAAACATTGATCCAACATCCAAAGTTTCAGCGCACAAGTAATGTTCAGCTGCTTGGCTATATGATTAACTTATGGAAAGGGAAACGTACCCATATCAATCAAAAGAGAAGAATTGACTCTAAAAAAGTTTAGACTCTGTAGTACGCTACATTTCAGAAGCTTTGGTCTACAAAGCATGATTTCAGAGACTGCACCACTTTATCCCAAAAGGGTAAGCTCCATTCAATGGGTCCAGAACCCTGTAGAACAATGAAAATGCAAGGGTAAGAATAAGAAATTATAGAAAGAGACTCCTATAATTTAACAAATTGTTGGTTGACCTCAGTATGGTTCACATGTGGAGAAGGTAAACTTTGGAAGCTTAAAATTTCAAAATTTCAATGCAAGCTCGATACAACAGTCTAAAGCAACAGTTAAATACTAAAAGGAGAGTGCAAAAATGGCGATGGAACCTAAAAAACTACGAACTCAGCAGCAGAGCAGATCCTCCTAAAAGTGCCTTTTCTGAGCGTCCCTCAGTGTCCCTAATCTTGTCCGTCTGGATGATCGAATGGCTCATAGTCTACCATGTAATCATGCTATTGTATAATACCTGAACCGTTTATTTAATGTAAATCATAGCCATCTATTTCTAGCATATTTAAAACACATTCTGAAAGCCTTAAACATGTCAACCTTGGCTGAACTTAGCCAGAAAGATTCTAAGAGACAATACTGAGTCCCATTGTTCTCATTTCTCCCAGCCCCTTCCATCGTCATCCTTTGATTTTCTCAGGGAAAAAGATGAATTAAAGGATTGCTTGCGATAAGTAACAATAGGGAGCAATAGAGTCCGATATTCCCCGTACAAGGCTTTTATCAAAATCAAAAGGGTACATTATCTGCTGATTTTTTGATAAAATGACAAAGTTTAATGAAGAAGGCAATGAAGTTTTTACAACTCGTAACCATGAAGCCAGTAAACCATCTACAGCAGCGATGCCATTAAAGTTTTACTCTTAACATCCTAATGCAACCCCAAACAGCTAGAAATTTACTCAAGAGAGAAGGTTGCTTGCAATATCTACTTACAAACTCAACTTTTAAACAAAGACTGAAAGAAACTCAAAATGTGAAGAAGATGGGCTTTCAGCAGCATTGAATGAATCTTGAGCAGTTGGAGGGCTATCTTGCTCTATCATGATATATCCTTGCTCCTGATGTTAAGAGTAGAAGGGAAAAAGAGGAGCCTTCCTCGGCAATTGGAGAATATGAGGAGAAGAGTCTCCTATATTTAGTGAGAACAATATAAGAATCTGTGAAAGAAAAGAAAAGCGAATCAGTCTCTACTCGCATAACGCCCTTCAGACTTTTTCATTGGGATTTCAAAATGCAAGAAATTAAAATGCAGTAAGTTCATTTCATGGATTCATGATACATTTTGTTTTGATAACTAACAAAAGACTTTTACATTTATCAAATTTTCTCTCATTTTGCAATGCTTCCAATCCATGGTCTTCAAAAATAAATTATAGCCATTCTCTGTCTTTCTAAAACCATGTAAATAAGCTCAATGAAACAATCAAATGAATGCAGCGTCCAACGGCGTCCAGAAACGGAAAGGCGAGAGAAAAACTAGAGTGAAAATTTCTTGCTTGGTACCTAATTCAAAGCCATGGGAACAGAAACGCAAGTAACAGTGTCCAACGGAGATAAGATAATAAAATCAGGAATAGATCTCATGAAACGGCGTCCAAGACTGACCAACTTACATAATTCTTGATAATGTCCAAGACGGAGCGGGACGACAGTGTTCTGCGGGAACCAACGGTGGAAGACGATGAGCACTCTGCCTCCGGCGTCGAGTGGCATCAAAGGGAACCGAACCATGTTAGGAATTAAATGGACGGCTAAGATTATAGAGATGTGATTTTAAATGCTAAATGACGTGCTTTTTGTGAGCGCTGGGATCATCTGAACGGATAAGATTAGGACACTGAGGGATATTGAGAAAAATCGCCTCTAAGTTCTAGGGCGATCTGAACCAGTGAACCCTAAACACCCGATGCAAGGGTTTTTTTTTTTTTTTTTCACGCGCAGCTCCGTTGGCCGTCGTCTTCTGGGGACGCGCCGATCAGGGGACGCCGGTGAAGACTGGAGGGGTGGTGTCGTTCACAGACCACTTTTGGTTCCAGTTTTGAGGACGCCCTACTCTCTCTCTCTCTCCTCGCTGTCTCTCTCTCTGACTCTCACGGCAGAAGCTCAAGGGGCCTTTCTGGGCTCACATGCTCTGATACCAACTGTCACGGACTTGGTCGTAATTCCAACGAACCGTGCAGCCTAGCAAACTCCTTGCTTTAAGTTGCTAGTCAGCTTACTCAAGAAAGTGAGAGTGTTGTAAGTACTTTAAGAGATTAATACAAAGTTCTTTCTTTGAGTCTCCTGTTCCTTCGTGAGTAGGCTGACTAGCAACTTAAAGCAAGGAGTTTGCTAGGGCGCACGGTTCGTTGGAATTACGACCAAGTCCGTGACAGTATGTAAAAAAAATTTATCTTGATTTGTACAGAAATACTTTTAAAAAGTGCTTTTCTAAGTAACGATACGTCCTCCGCGAAAGATCATCTCTCATTCTCTTTTTTCTGCTTTTTTGCTATGTATCCTGCTTATTATAACAGTTAGTGTGATATTTAATTTAGTTTTAAATATAAAATCTTAATTTATTATATCTTTCACATTTATCTATCTTTTCTTGAGTAGCTATTGTAAGTTACACATATTAAAAATTCTATTCTATAGTAGTTTTAGCTAATATATATGATTAGTAAGAATATTTTAAAGAAAATAATACATATTTATTATAAATAACTAGCTTAATAAATTTTTTTAATATAGTCAAATTAGTCTACTACCTTTTACATTAAGAATCGTAAGCTTCTTTTTATTGTTGGGTGCATTCCATTTTTGCATGACATTAATATATTCATTTTGTAGAAAGTAATAAATAATCAAAGTTTATCACAAAGATCAATAATTAATAAATATTATAATTATTTATAATAGTATTTTAATTTTATATAGTATAATTTTTTTCTGGAAAATATATACTTTTATTTTATATGATATGTACTTATTTCAAAAATAAAATTATTTAGGTTTCAGTTTAATTTAATGAACGATCTAATTTTAACACATCAATCAATAAAATTGAATATTGTACGATTCTAACTTTATATAATATACTCAATTTTTGTTTAACTAAATTAGAGAATTTTGTTAAAATTTTATACGGTTTTTAATAGATAAAAAGTATGTTAAATATTAAATTATTTAGATATTAGTTTAATTTTAAACTTTGCTTAAATACTACATTAGTTTTTTAAAAATGTACAGAAAGCCGTGAGAACTCATCTGGTATTCTATGAAACGTTAAAAAATATTCAATCTTGTCATTTAATTACATCCACAACCCTCAACCTCGACAAGCAACGATGAATTATATTTTAAAAAACTAATGTACTATATATTTTAAAAAAATTTGGTTAAATTATGCAAAACCCTCTTAAACATGGAATTATACAAAAATAATCCTTTAATTTTTAAAAAAAAAATAATAAATCTCCACGAACTTTCAAATCTATGCAAGTAAATCCTAACTATCAATTATGCATCCCTTCAAATTTTATTTATATGTGCATATAACTCTTTAAACTTCAATTAAAATGTAGATTATCCCACTAAACTTTAATCTTTTTGCGGATGAGTAATACATAAAATTAAATTAGTCGTATGAAGTTCTTTGTATAACCATAAAAATTTAGGGGGTTCATTATAAAGATTTAAAAGTGATCGAAATTATCTGTACATGGTTCAAAGTTAAGAGGATTATACACAACATGATCAAAAAAATTAATTATTTAAAATAATGTTCATCAATTACATGTTTGAAAAAAAAAAGTGATATACTTTTTCTCTTTATAAAAAAAAAGTAATAAATTGAATGATCAATCTGCTGCCCCGGTCAAAGTAAAATAATATTATCTCTGGTTCTAAATATAAAAATTAGTTTATAGTGTAAATTATACTATAAACTAGATCTTATATTTAGGATGAGAATAATAAATGGGCCACAGCAGAGTCTTGTTCTAATTTTTGTTCTCACTTTTGGTCCTGAAAACGCTCATGCCAAATACTTTCTTCAACTTCTTGAAGAAAGGTGTCTTATTGGAGTTTCCTCTGTTGGACGAAGAAGCTTGATCTTGACTTTGATTTTCTGCCCAAAAAAAATGAAAATAAATAAATATATATATATATATATATATATTTATATATGTAATCATCAGATTACCTATTAGTAGTGGTAATAATATCATGCAGCATTTTTTATTTTAAGAAAAAAACGGTGATATTACCGTTTGAGGATTCAGAAGCTGCAATACCTGCAGGAAGCAAAATCGCCACGTAAACAAAAATAATATAACTCTCGTATATTAAGTAGGAAAATAAAAAAAAATCAGTTATACTGCTCATAAAATACCAAGTCAAAGTATTAATATCTTATTGCCAAATGCAAATTATCCTCCACCTTTTTCATCGAAATATTTCAATGTCACAAATATTTTGTGTGTGTGTGTGTGTAAGCATGAGTTTAGCTCTTTTTTTTTTTACCATGAAATGAATTCTCTTGTTAATGAGGATAAATTTTAAGAAGAGTATTTTTAAAAAAATATATATTCAAAAAAGTTGGTTAATAATTCGATGCCAGTGCTTGAAAATCATAAATTTTTTGCCCGTTTGTAATTGATGCCAAAAAGATGTATGATCGATTCTTTAGAATAACAAGGATTTTTTTTTCTGGGCAAACATTTAGAAATTATTGTTTGAAAATGCAACAAATAACTAATACCTCGAACAGGACCAAAATAAAATAAAATAAAATAACCAAAATAAAATACTCCTCCGGTCCTTAATATAGGACCCATTTAACTAATTTGATTAGATTAAGGAAGTTAGGTAAGTTAGTTAATTATAAGAAAAGTGACACATTTTTTCTAAAACATCATAATCATCTTTTTTAATACCTCATCTCCATCTTATATTTGATTATGGTTGAGGGAGTATCTATAGGGTTAATTTAGAGAAAATTGATAAATATGATAAATGGATCTTATATTTAGGACCAAACCAACTCAAGAATTGGGTCCTATATTAAGGACCGGATGAGTAAAATAAAAGAAGAGTTATGATGCATGAGATACTAAAGAAACGAACATTGCAACTGTTCACAATATAATTCTATATTTATATTTTAGACTTTGCACGATATTACATATTAATTGCGATTGTGATAGAGAATTTATGCTCCAAATCCTTCGAACCGATTTAAAAGTAAACTCTTAAGAAGCTGAATTCCACATATAATTTCTATCTCTTCATCATTAACAGCTAACAAATACTCCCTTCGGTTATAAACGTAGGAGTTAATTGAAGGGTTTATTTTAGTCCTATCATAATCCTGTCTAACAAATGTATAATTTTTTATTTCAAACAATCCTATATTGATTGCAAATGCTAAAAATGGTTTTTATTAATTATAATAAATAATAGTTTTCTTTGCAAATAATCACAGAGTATTTTAATGAAACCAATACACATATATTATAATAATTAATTTAACTAATTTTTTAATATCTATAAATTAGTCATCTTGTCCCTAAATTTAGGATGGAAATGAGCAGCATAATGTCACATTCAGGCATAAATATTGGGCTATATACACATAAAAATACTTCTAGAAAAACATAATTTCATGTTAAGACTTGAAACCTAATCATAATAATAACTTTTAAAATCATACAACACTGCATCAAAAGTTCTTGTCTGTTTATGTCACTGGGAACCTATTCACAATGTAGCAGCTCAAGGCCATTCACTCACATCCAATTAAGTTTTATTACCTTCAGGAGTAATAGTTTCAAGGGAAGGTCCAGCAGAGCACAAAAGATAAGGTTTCCTTGCCCAGTACTCTTTAATTCTCTGCTTTGCATACTCCATGTAGTCGAAGTCAATTTTGTTTACATGTGCCTGGACAATTCAGGGAAGAAAAAACCACAGATTTAGATTACTATGCTCCAGTAAGTCCATATAGGGTCTGAGACACACAGTATAGACTTTCAGTGAAAAAGGAGAACTGGTAGAAACTTGAAAAGTTAAAAGATTTCAAATTGTTTCTACATTGATATTTTGATGATTACGGGGAAATACATAATTAAATTCTAAGGTAGATGCAGACCCAGCCTCTCAAAGATAGATTATTTAAATTCTAAGGTAGGTGCAGAATCAGCCTCTCAAAAATGGGTAGAAGAATAATGTGTCTAATTATTATTTATTTTTGGCTTGTTTTCCCTTCTCTGGTAAAAAGTCTGACTAAGGAATCTCTCATCACTAATGCTAAAGAGAGAATAGTGAAAGTACCGAAATTACTCCCCACAGGCCCCAGAATAGATGATTTGCAAGTGTATACTTCTCAGCTTCTTGAAGCAACTGCTCTACTTCACTGTCACTAGGCTCCTGGCCTGCATTTGACTCCAAAAATTTCAGGATGGAACATCATAAACCCAGTATTTGAGGAGAAGCACAGTCATATACATGATGAATGATGAAAAATAGGCAAATATTATTTTGTATTGTTTTTAAAATAAACACAAAAAACTGTTCAAATTATGAACTAAATAATCAATTATATTATTTAGACAAGAAAACAATATCTCCTCTTTAATAAATTTACACCATAGCCAACAGCTAGTTGTCCCAATGATAACACCACCCATCACATGGTTGGATGAGGTCTCAAGTTTAAACTTGGCATTGACAAATTTGTATGTACAGGTGTGTTTAATTGTATTAAATAAAAAAAGATAAATAAATAAATTTACACCATAAGATAAAGTTTGTGTTGAAATAAAGACAAAACTGTGCAATACCTGAAGTGCTTAAATACGTTCGCACAAATCTTTTACGCTCCTCCAAATCTGTCAAGAGAAAGTGAGAAACAACCACATGATAAAGAACGATGAATGAAAAGAAATTAGAGGAGCATCATACCAGGACATTTACTGAAGTCAAGAACGTGAGGTGTTTCTGTATGATAATCAGCTGCCATCTCGCAGAAGTGGTTTGCGATGTCATATGCTACAGGATTATAACCTGAATATTCATAATCCTGTTACAAAAGGTTAGAATTAAAATCATAAGTCTAAGACCATACGTCATTTTCAAAATCTCATATCTACAGTTAAAAATTAGATCATCAATCAAAATATTCATTTATTATGATAATTTGACCTTAAAGTGCTGGAAAGGCTCTCGGCAACCAAGTTCTTCAAGCCATAAAATCAAGACAAGTTCTGTATCCAGATTTGGAATAACAGGCTGCCACCATTCAAGGTAGGTTTCTTCTCTTTTTCTTTTCACAATGTTAAATGCTTAATCCTTTTTGAGGGGAAGAGGAGGAGCTGGTCTCCATTTATATTCAATCCCATTTAAGTAAAACCACTACGAGCATGTTTACCTGATTATAATATGTATGAGGATAATTTTTCCCATATTTGTTTTGTACAGTATTCAAGTGGAAAAATGTCCACAGGATTTTCAATAATGCAGTGAAAGTTGCGGTAACAAATGGCAAAATCCATGTACGGCAAGTCTATGACTAAAGCAGAACTAGCCTTTTCTTCAAAGCAAGCCCTCCAATCAAACGGGAAAAGAAGAAACAAAACCTTACTTCCACAAACTAGCAAAAAGAAAGACTCACAATTAGGGTCACGGTATTGCTCTCTTCATTAAGCATTATGTTACCATACTGCAAATCATTGTGGCAAAACCCTATGCGTTGCTGATCACATGAGAGTTCCTTTTCCAAAATATCAACTTCCTTGTCAATTGTGTCCAGATAAAAGGCTTCAACTTCTTCAGGGGAAGATAAACCCTTGGCTACGCTAATCCATTTTCTGAAGCATTGAGATAAAATTGTTTCAGAAACGACCAAACTTAAAATCTGGAAGAAGCAACAAACCTTATCTAGTGACAAACGCAACAGGGTTCTTATCTATGACCCCAAAAAAAAAAAAAATTCTTATCTCTGAAATTTTTAAGCAGTGAGGATGGGATGGGTGAGCAGAAAGCACATACCGTATTTTATCCCATAGGATGATTTTCTTTGGACCAGATATATCAAGATCATGAAACTCCTTCATTTTGGCTGCTATAAGAGCAGAGATAGATGGATCACGCAGGTCAGATGCTGATAAAGTCTGGGGAATTTACATAGGAGTTAAAACAGATCAGTCTCATTCAAGGAAGAGTGTATACAAGCATATCAGGTTTAAAATCGGATAGTGCTAAATATTACATATCATTAACTGTGAAAGAGTCCTTCCTCTATCTACATAAATAATGTCACTTTGAAAATTAAGCTTTTAGGTTAAGGTTATCCTTAACATAGTACCAGAACTTCTTGAATCAAGTTGTCAAGAAGTTATATACCAGCACAAATTATATATTTCACTCATTCTACTGTTTACCAAATTACTCCAAGATAGTTTGAGTGGCATTAGTATTAAGATAAGTAAAAATAAGTTCAGATCAGATTACCCGTGCTTTGATGAACTCTTCAATGCGACCATTAGAAAACCGGCCCAGGAGTCTAGGACCCTGCTCATTCTTAGACAGGAATTCAAATGCCCGTATCTCATCGTCCCTATCAAAGAAATTTTCCACACCCTCACCATAAATTCTAACAATAACTTTTCGTGACGGTTGCCCAGTCTTTGTTGGCCATTTTATTTGGAAGACCTTATTTGTCATCGCCCCCTTGAGAGGGATCACCTGCAATGCATCTACATCTTGTATATCATCCCACTCACTAGCTAATGATTTTAGAAGAGCCTTTACTTCTTCGGGAAGATCAACTGCTTTGTTGTTTGCGGGATGATCCGCTTTTTCCACAACAGAATGATCTTCTTTGTCCTTTACAAGATGATCTGATTTTTCCTCCACAGAATGATCTGCTTTGCTCACTACAGGATGATCTGCTTTGTCCACCACGGGATGGTCCACTTTGTCTTTGACGTTATGATCTGCTTTGCCTTCCATGGGATGATCTGCTTTGCCCTCCATGGGATGATCTGCTTTGCCCTCCATCGGATGATCTGCTTTGTCTTCTACAGGATGATCAGTATTGTCCTTTACAGGATTCTCAGTCGAAGCCATTATGAAAGACTCCCAAACTCCAAGCAAAAGCAAGGAATTACTGAGCTGTCTTGTTCCTTGTATTCAAGACTATCAGGCCTGCACAGGAGGGATAAATATGAACCATAAGAAAAGAGAAATAATATAATCCTTCAACACAAACAATTATATCCAAGAAATGCCAGGTGACATCTACTAACTCTTGCAGCACGGTGCAATAGTTGTCCCTCCTCTCAATTTTTGTTATAAACACAAATAGCGTCAAATGCTGACATGGATATAGTAGAGAGATATGCGGCATATGAGAGGAAGGGCATGCGAAAGGGAAAGAGAGATCGATCATTATCCGATAAGAGCTTTTTTTAAAAAAAAAAAACAAGAAAGAAATGAAACAGCTACAAAGATTTAAATAAGAAAACCTTAAAACGATTCACCACTGTGAACAATTATGGTAGTTTCTATTTTATTTTGTGATGTCTGGAAAGGTAATAGAATCACCGAAGGACTTCCGAAGCATCCGGGTTTCAGTCCTTAATCTGAAAAAACAGTGAACTAACAATAACGATGTTAATTAATGATTGACCTAGCTAGCACAAAACATATTCGTACTATGCATCTCAATTCAGAACAGGAGAGACCTTAAATTCGAGTCTACGATTTTGAATCTTAAAAAAAATAATAAAAAAAAAGATTAACTAACACTAGCGATCACCAAAGTGGAATGGAACAGGAAATTGGAAAATTTCTATCCTAATTTTTCATACGAATTGAGATAAAAGCGAAGACTAACTTCAAAATACTCATTGAATGAAGCGAAAAGATTGTGATACACGGATTAAAATCATTTCATTTTGTCGCGTTCAGCTTCTCATAGCCTTCTGCCCCAATGAGAAAACCTCCCATAGCCCATTTTCGTTGTTGCAACAACAGAAGAGCGTAGCGGTTGTTGAAATTATAATATAAGCCACTCAGATAATGCTTACACCAGAGAAAGAACAAAAAAAGCATATAACTGATTATAATTCATCACATTTCCATCCCAATTTCCTTCAAGAATTCAACCATAAAAGAGCAATGATAGCGAATCAACAAAATACCAACCTCAAGAGAAAAGAATAGCAATAATGAATCCAACATCGGCGTAATCTCGGCAACCAGCGAGCTCGCCGCCGGGGACGGTGATCAGAGGAAAGAAAAAACAATAAAGGAGAGAAACGATTGCAGTAAATTTGAGCGGTTAGATTCAACCGTTCTCAGTAGGAAGAAAGCGAGTGTAGCAAAATGGGTGATCAAGGTTCTGAAAGTAAATGAATAGAAAGAATTTATAGCATGAAGCTCCCACCAAATTAGTTCTTTGAAAAGAGGAACGGAGATGAATAAAAGATTCCAAATTTAGAAAGTCCTATTTTGTTACAATGATAGCTATTTATAAAAATAGAAAAATACTGTTACTTCTACTTTGACCTTGAGAAATAGATAGTGTTTTTTGTAATATTGATGATAAAAAATTATAATTTTTTTCAACGAAAATTTGAGGAGGTCAATTATAGGTTCAATTAGCTATGTCATATTATCACATTACTTTTTAGTTGATTCTTTGTCTAGAAAAATTGATTTTAATGACTCATTTTTTGCTTCAATAAAAAGAAAAATATGTGCATAGATTTCATATTTACGAACTCTTTTTGGGTATCAGTTCCTAATGTCTTCTTTAGAACAAAAATGCATGTTTTTTGAGGAGGAAAAAATAATGTATTTCAATTATTATCTGAAATCAATACAAAGAAAAATAGAAATTACCCTCCCTCATAAGATTATTATTGTTATTATAAATATATATTAAAAATTAGAATAATCTATATTTTTATTTATAAGGATATAACTCATCTCTCATTGAGAGAAGTTTGGCCCCAAAAAGAAATTCAGTGAGGGAAGGTTTAGGAGGGGTATATGCTTTGATAATTTTTGGGACACAATGGGACATGCCATTCTTTTTCTTGGCTGGATATGCCGGTTAAGTTCAACAATTGAGGATGAACGCTTTTCTCTGTTTTTCTTATAATAAAGCCAAGTAGATAGTAATTGGAAAAAAAAATAGTACATAAAGTAAGCATACACAAAGCGACAAAACACACTAGATATTAATTTAGGATTAATATATAAATTTGTTCCAAAAATTTTATTCAAAAGCACTAGTATCTTAGAAGGCTTTTTTGGATACGAATTTACACTAAAATTTAAAATCGTAGCAATTTTACTTTCTATTGTTAAAAATGTTAACTGTCAACATCACTATTATAATAGTTAATGTTAGTTTTTTTAATAATAATGGCGATATTACTGCAATTTTAAACTTTTGGAGTAAATTTATAACCAAAAAAACTTTTGAGTGCCTAATGCTCATGAATGTAAACTTTCAAGATAAATTTACATCTTAACCCTTTCAATTTATAAAAAAAAAAATTAACACAACATTATATAATATCACTTCTAATTTTTAATATAAGAGTTAATTGATTGTTCAATTTGATCTTTAATATAAGAACTTAATTCATTTTATCTCCTAAACTTTTTTTTTCCCAAAATGCCCTTATTGATTGTAAAAGGCGGCTTTTTTATCCAGATATGACAAACAATAAAAAAATTTACTCAGATGCTATAAGATTAAAAATATTTACTCAAATACTACACCTGAAATTGTTCAGAAAATGAACGAGTTTAAATTTGTACAGAAATCGTTCAGGCTAAGAACGAGTTAAGTGGGTTCCACATCACAAAATAATGAAAATTGTTCTTGGTCTGAACAACTTCTGTGGAACCCACTATACACATTTGTCTTACATTTCATGTGTGTTCCATGAGTTTTCAGCTTTTTTATTTTTGACCAGACTATACTTCTGCCTTTTCTAGCCACACGCAAAGTGCTCCTTCCTTCCCCAAATATTCCCATCAATATAGAGTAGTCATTCATTGTCTCTCACGCGTGAGTACTTTGTTTTGGCATGTGAGTGTATAGTATGAATTCTGTTTATATAAAGCATTTGGCATTCCCATTCATCAAAAGCCTTCTCCTCACTTCTCATATTCTTCTTTCTCTATATATAAGGCATTCGCATGAAGTAGGTAAATACGTTTTATCTCAACTTCAATTCTTCGTATAATTCAATTCTTCTTTCTCTATATATAAGGCATTCACGTGAAGAATTGAATACGTTTTATCTGCAGCTTCTTCAATAAATGTTAATAACTATTTCACACAAGTTATTTAAAAATTATAATTACTTAATATGACAAAACAATTAGCTATTACTATTGAGTGATTCTTTTAAGTGACTCAAAATAAATGTTAATAACTATTTCACACTAGTTATTTAAAAATTGTAATTACTTAATATGGCAAAACAATTAACTATTACTGATGAGTGATTTTTTTAAATTTATATTTTATTATTTGGTCTGCCTAAATAATTATAATTTTTAAGATCATCTTTAATAAATATTGCTTTCTCTAGGTCCTCCTCTCTAATTTTTCCAAAAAATTAAAAAAAAAACTCCTTTCTTTCATTATTATTAACCCCACCATCAATACTCTTTTTATCAGGAAAATTTTGGCACCATTTGGTGCTAGTTTTCATTGGTTAGATACAAGACCAGACTAAGCTCACAACTAAGGTTGTCAAATTCACGAGTTTAAGTAAACTCGTGACAGGTATGTAAACTCGAATTTATGAAATTCATACATTAAGTCACTATGCATAATCAAATAATAAAATAATTATAAATTTAATAAAAATTATAATTTAGACCATTGATTTGGATTTTCAATATTTTAAAGGTTTTTATAGTTAAATAATTTAACTGTCTTCTAGGCATGCTTTGATATAAATATTTCAATTTTTTATATAAATATTTTTCGTAATTTTAACAAAAATAATTTTATCGTTGTATATTAAAATTTTATGAGTTGGGAATATTATTCCATCAATTTTTATTTAAATATTCAAGTATTTTTCATGACGTACTGATTGGCATAGGAGAAATTTGATTACCATGCTCACAACCAAATATTATCTAACTAAATACATATTTAAACTGACTACATATTTACTCAAACATTATCTACTAAAAAAAAGATATATATTTAATCAGATTATAAAAAAGTAAACTGCAATTTATTTTATATGACAATTACTTATATGTCTACATTTTTTAGTTAAAACAAACTCAACATGTAAAAATGACTAAATATAAAATTCTTATCCATCATTTAGCAAAATACATATCAAAATTTTTAAAAAAAAATCAATTAAGAGAATGTACCTTAGTCAGAAAAAAAATTAAATTTCAAGTTGAGATAAAACATATACAATATTTACAAAGCTGCACACACCACCAACTTCATGCGAAAGTGTGGAAGGAGAAAGAAGAATTGAAGGAGCTGTAGATAAAACGTATTCAATTCTTCACATGAATGCCTCATATATAGAGAAAGAAGAATTGAATTATACGAAGAATTGAAGTTGAGATAAAACGTATTCACCTACTTCATGCAAATGCCTTATATATAGAGAAAGAAGAATCTGAGAAGTGAGGAGAAGGCTTTTGATTAGTGGGAATACCGAATGCCTTATATAAACAAAATTCATACTATACACTCACATGCCAAAACAAAGTACTCACGCGTGAGAGACAATGAATGACTACTCTATATTGATGGGAATATTTGTGGAAGGAAGGAACACTTTGCGTGTGGCTGGAAAAGACAGAAGTATAGTCTGGTCAAAAATAAAAAAGCTGAAAACACATGAAACTCACATGGAGTGTAAGACAAATGTGTATAGTAGGTCTCACTAAGGTTGTTTAGACCAAGAACAACTTTCATTCTGTGACGTGAGTCCCACTGAAGTTGTTCATACCAAGAACAACTTTCATTATTTTGTGATGTGGATCCCACTGAACTCGTTCTTGGCCTGAACGATTTTTGTACAAATTTAAACCCGTTCATCGTCTGATCGATTTCAAGTGTAGTATCTGAGCAAATATTTTTGATCTTATAGCATCTGAGTTAGAACTAGTAATACAAGGACCCAGCCCGCCAAAAATGACGGACTTAAGTTGGCAAAATGCCAACCTACCAAGATGCGGGCTACTCCAGCCCGCACTGTTTTCAATCCACTCCGTCGCGGACTAGCCTGCTTTTCTTTTTCTTTTTTTAATTTTATTTTTATACAATTCCGAATATATTATACAACATAATTGGAGGATTTTGGCCCTCAAATTTCACGTTTACATCTCCTCATTCATGTAATTGCATATATAATACACACATAAAAGATCTACTTAATTAATTTGGATAAGAAAAATAGTCAAATTAATTATTTAGAAAAAATATGTGTTGGTTTTTTTAAAATATCTTCTCAAATTATAAATTAATTCTCACATTATTTTATTATAACCTACTACTCAAGGTTAAAACTCTAAGTCCAATTTCAACATTACGAACTACACTCAATCTATACAAATAATATTAATTTTTTTAAAAAAAATTTAGGCAGGCCCAGGCCAGCTACTTCAGCCCATACCGCTTTCGGCCCATACTGCTACGGGCTGGCCCGTATCCACACTGCCAGCCGCATTACCAGCTCTAATCTGAGTAAATTTTTTTTATTGTTTGTCATATCTAGATAAAAAAGCCGTAAAAGACTCACACCAAGACTAGTTCTAATATATATTATTAAAAAGAATAGTTTAAAAAAGTTAATACACATTTGTTTTAAATAATTAACTTCACTGATTTTTTTTAATCTCTTTATTTCAAATTAGTTATATATGTTTTATATTAAATACCGGTAATGAGACCTCTGTTAAAACGACCCAAATGGATTGTCAAATTAGAACTTCCTTTTCCTCTCGTGTATCAATTACACTTTGCAGTTTGCGCCATCTTGTTTGCTCAGGACACGTGCATCATTTCGGTCTTGGCTTCTTTCCATTTACTTTCTTTCTACTGCACATTTCAATCTTCGAATCAAATTTTATTAGAGTTTAATCTCTGTTTAATCAAATTTTCATTGTTCTTCTATCAAATTCTTGTAGTGTCATATGATTTTTAATTAAGTCTCTATAGTCATTTATTTTTATCAATTCTTCATAATTTTTCATCTGATTTTAATTCGAAAACCACAAATAGGACAAGTATTGTTTCCATAGAGGTTGAGCCAGCCACGAATATATTCAAAACAAAAGAAATGGTCGCAAGTAATTTGTTTGCATCTCCTAATTTGAACTCCTCCTTGCACCTCTTCTGACCCCACCTCCGTTCCTTCCATGCTCTAAGTTCGAAGCAATTTGTGGCATGTAAGATGACTAAGAAAATAGTTGTAAATGACGAGGATAATAATATAACAGATAAAAAGATAAACGATTGGGTTATACTTTTTCAAACATGCTCCTTTTTGAGTTAAGAAATACTCCTCTGGTCCTATTTAAAGGACAGAAAGAGAAGACTTTTTTGGGTCCTATTTATAGAGTATTGAAAGAAATTTTTTGTATGAATGTACAATTTTACTTCTTATTTATTATTATGTTAACTTTGTTTACATAAGGTATAATGTATATTAAATAGGAATAAAGTTGGAAAGTTATTAAATTTTAAATGAGAGTTAATAAAATTTAAGATTTTTTTTATTTATGTGAAACATATTGGAAATGCCTTATAAATAAGAACAGAAGAGTAGATAAATAGACGCATCCCATTGATCGGCGGTGTCTGTAGTCATAATCAATGGATTGGATTATAAGGGAATCAATAATTGAAGAACCAAAAGATTATTAATTTTTTAAAATTAATTAAAATTATTGAAAGTTTGAGGATTAAAAAAAGGGTTAACATAATTTTTAATCGCTTAAATTTATTTTTATTTTGGTTTTAGTTTCTTAAATTTCATACCATAAATTTTAGTCTCTTAGAAAGCAAAATAATCAATGTTTTTGTTAGATTGTATGTACAAATATTTTAAATAAAAAGAATTTTGATAAATCAAAATTTATTATTTAAAACTTCAAGAACTAAAAAGACAAATTTAAAAGATGAAAAATTATATTAACTTTTAGAAAAAACTCTGGTCGTAAAAAAGTGGCCCTCGTCCCTAGGGGAACATCCAAACGGCGAAACGGAAGCCCGAATCACGACGAACAAGATAATTAACGATCCATAACCAAATCCCTATTATTTCCCAAAAGCTTATGATACATTACATTACATTGTTGGCATCAAATCAACCAATGATTCAAAGCATATAAAGCGTTAACGTCAAATGATTACCAAAATTGCGGTAGAGTGCAGTATTAGTATTCTAATGAAAAAAAATACTGCCTTTTTTCCTCTTAATATAAGAACTAATTTAATTTTTAATTTGATTTTAAATATAAGATTCTAATCCATTATATCTCTCATACTTGTTCTTTTTTTTTCAAATAGTCTTTATAGTAGTTCACATGTTAAATATTTAATCAATTAGCATTTTTAACTAATATATGATTAGCAAAGTGTATTTTAGGAAATGCAACATCTAATTATTGCATTTAACTAACTCAACAAACTTTCTAAATCTATTTAAATTAATCAACTAACTCTTATATTAAGAATCAGAGTTAATAATTATTATTTTATTGTTTTTTCCATATTTCTTTTCTGTCCCCCTAATCACAATGACATCCATACGCATCCATCCCAGGTGTAAGAGATAACATAATTAAACATCTTTAACGGACAAAACATTCATGACATACTATTTTTAATATAAGACTTTGTTTAATTTTTATTTTGATTTTAAATATAAAATCTCAATTTATTTTATATATTATATTTATTTTTTTTTCAAATTACTCCTTATAATAATGATAGTTCTAGCCAATATACTTGATTAGTAAAAATATTTTTTTAGAAAAACAACATCTACTTATTATAAATAACTAACATAACTAATTTTCTTAATCTACTCAAATTAGCCAACTAATTCTTATATTAAAGAGTGGAAGGTGGTATTCCTCTGGGCCTATTCATAAGGTGGAGAGAGAAAACTTTTTTTGGTCCTATTTATAGGGCATTAAGAGAAATTTTTTGTATGAATACACAATTTTACCCCTCATTTATTATTATGTTGACTTTGTTTACATGAAATATAATGTATATTAAATAGGAATAAAGTTGGAAAGTTATTAAATTTTAAATGAGAGTTAATAAAGTTTAAGGTTTTCCTTGATCTGTGTGAAACATGCTGGAAATACCTTATAAATAGGATCAGAAGAGTATATCATTGTTTTGTATACCTAACCAACTTAAATTAAAATATTCCTCGCTCAAAATATATTAAACATTGGTAATTAATGGAAGCATCGATCACAGATGTAAAATAATAAGAGAACGTCAATGTCACCATTCCCAAAGCCATTTAATTTTTTTTTCCCGCGGAATCCGGTGTGTCCTTCACCGCCCCAACTGTCTTCCCACCTCCTTCAATAAAGTCACTATAAACTCTCCCTCTCCATCACACCCCAAACCTTCTCCTTCCCTCATTTCTTCTCCTTCTTCTTCTTTCTCTTACTCTCTCATGCCCCCCTGGCCCTAAGATTGAGCTTTAAGATTCGACAGCAAACTTAAAAAGCCACCTTCACCTGCCCCATCATTCTAGATAACGTTTGCGTCATACATCTTACCGCGACTGCTGATACGGAGTCTTGCTCTCTCATGTCCCCTGCCTACCCGCCCATCTCCGCCACCGGCACCAGCCTCGGATACGGCATCGCCATCGCGGTTAGCATTCTCGTCCTCATTTCTACCATCATGCTTGCTTCTTATGCTTGTGTTCGGATGAAGGCCAACGGCCGCGGCCTTAACCGTCGTATCAGCAGTAATAGTAGCAGTAATAATATTTCGGACGAGCCGGTGGTGGTGGTTTTGGGCCTGGATAAGCCCACTATTGAAGGTTACCCGAAGATTGTGCTTGGGGAGAGTCGCAGATTGCCGAGGCCCAATGGGGGCCCATGCGCTATTTGCTTGGGAGAGTATGTAAAGAATGATACGGTGCGGTGTGTTCCAGAGTGCAACCACTGCTTCCATGTGGGCTGCTTGGATGAGTGGCTTCGTCTGAGCGCCACGTGTCCTCTGTGTCGGAGCTCTCCTGCTCCCTCGCCGGTGCCGACGCCGGTGGCCACTCCTCTGTCAGAATTGGTTCCACTTGCTTCCCACGCCAGGTGACGACTCAGCTTTCTTCTTTTATTGTTTTTCTTTTCATTGAAAGTAGAGCGATACACAATTTTGTATGCTGAGTCACTACTGACCTTTTTGAATTAATAAAAATTGTACTAAACTAACTTTATATCGGGATTATGTATATTATTTGACTACTTGATGGGTTTGTTCCATCTTTTTTTGTTTGTTTTTTCTTTCCTGAAATAGTTATGGCTAAAAAAAAAATCTAAACTTAAATTTAATAAGAATTATGTTAAAAATATAATACTCCCTCCGTTCTTTATTATAAGAGACGAATAACCGAATTACATTAATAAAAAAAACAGTTAAAATTAGTTAAGCATAATCAATGTGTAAAAAGTATAATTTTTTTTCCAAAAATACTCTCATTAATAAGGAGAGAGAACATGAGAGAGAACAATAGTAAATTATTAAAAGAAAGAGAAGTGGGAAGGAGAGAGAGTGTGAGTTTGAGACAATAAATATGGGTAAAATAGGAAATCAACACAAAAAAGTAGAGACAACTTTTAAGTGTCTCTTATATATAGAAACATGTCATAAGTATCAAATGTCTCTTATAATAAAAAACGGAAGGAGTACCTATCTAGTTCTATTTATAAAGTAGGGAGATTAGAAACTTTAAATTAAGATGATATTAATCAATGGTATACTGAGTCATAAATGATTTTGGGAATCGCAATAGCAAGCAAATCTCGATGAACATGTGAATGAAAAGAAAATAATTAATTAGTCACACTTTTCCATGTATTATAAAAGTCAGAAGGATGACTAATATGTACTGGGTTAATTGGGATTACTCTCTGTCTTTCACAATATGGTGAGCAAACGATTAACTTTTTAATTGAGAGAGGTATTTACATTTACCACTTCTGGGACAAATTGTAAGTAGCCTAAGCGCATTTGAAGCCCAGACAATTATAAGTTATAAAATGGGACCAACAGGTGTATCAATAAAACCACCTTGATTTAACTGCGTACTCTCAATAAATCACTTTGGGAGAATTACTGAGATTTTTTTAAAAAAATTACAAAATATATTCAAGAGGTTATCATTCTTCACTCTGGAACTTGTCATATATTCAGTTTTTTAGTTCGGTTATTTCGGTTTTAGGTTAATATTTAGTTTTTATTTTTGTAATAATTCGGTTTCGGTGTTCGGTTTAATTAGTAGAAAAAAAATTTCAGTTATAACCGAAAAATCAAAATAAATATATTATATATTTATATTTACTAAATATTATTATAATAAATATATATGTGGGTTTATGTTAACTCTTTAAATATATTTATATTCAATAAATATGATTATAACAAACATTATTATAATAAATCATATTGAATGATGAAATATTTATTAATTAATGATTATAAATTTTTTTTATTATTAATTTAAAATCACTTTCACATTTATATATTTCGGTTAATCGGTTAACCGAATTGAAATATTTCGGTTAATTCGGTGTCGGTTAGTTCAATTAATTGGTTTCCGTTTAGTGTTTAAAATTTGCTCTATTCGGTTATTCGATTAATTTGGTTATCACCGATAACCAAACCAAAAAACCGAATACTCACCTCTATTACAAACGGCCCGGATTGTTATTGGCATCTTTTAGAAATTATTCCTCTTCCTTATGACTTAATTGTGATTCTTCCAATCACTTTAGTTAAAGTGAGATAGATTCAGGATATTTTTACGCTAAAAAATAAACAAAAAAACCACTTACATTTCAATTTGCATTTCACCTAGAAGAGTTATTCCAGTTAGTAAAGGAGTTGGTTCATAATTTACAAGGTCGTAGATGAAAAGAATTTTGTTGGTAGGCGATATATAAATACCTTTGTAAACTCTTTCTGAGCCTGGAAGCATATCTTGATGAGGTTCCGGGATCTAATTTACTTGAACTTTTAGGGGGAAAACCTTGTATTTCTCTAAAATAGCTATAAAATGTATCTTAAATATCATAAACGTTTCATAGTGGTGAATCAATCACAAGATAAACCCAAAAGCATAACAGAAATCTTAAACCTGTAAACTATGTAAAAGGCTCCGCCTTCTTTCTCCGTTTTGAGTCCTCAACGAATTTCTCACTTGAAAATATGAAAGTAATAACTGTGAGACCTAAATTTTCAGTAATTATAGGTTGCTAAAATAAATTATCCTCCGTCATTTTTTCTTCCCAAAATCTTAAACTTTCAGTAATACGTCAAATAAATTATCTATGACTATTGAAATAATTTAGTTAAATTAAATGTTATTATTATTATTTTTCTTCCCAATTTCGTAAATTTTCACCTTAAGAAAGTCTCATAGATTAATCCTCCATCATCACTGTCAAATAACTTAATTAAAAATTTTGAAATGTTATATGCACCTTCATTTAATATATCCTTGCTCTTTTTATCCTCATTTAACAAGACGAAGAACTAAGGAGAAAATATTAGTATTAATTGGATTTTTTTTTTAAGTCAATTTTTGATTAAAAAAAATTAAGGAGAATGACCGATTTTGTCTAATATTCTTCATAACCACCTTTAGTAATATCATTATTACTAATTGCTCACATCTTAAATGACAGATAAAAATAAACGGATGGAATTGAATTAATAAGGTAATTATTACTAATTGCAAATCAATCCAGTTAATGCAAGATCATAAAAAATATTTCAAAAGACAATATATTAAGTTTGAGGCATCAATTTACATTTATTGTATTTACACTGATCAGTAAACGTTTTTGATATTACATTATTTGATACTTCATTTGTTTACAATATATTAATTAAGTTAAATTGTAAATCTCATTGATTGATATTTATTTGTATAATTGATTACCATTAGCGAACTTGGGACGTGTGTGTATAAAAGAGGGATACATACATAGTCGAACACAACATGTTTCAAAAATCTCGAGGAAAAATGGGAATAGCTTCAGTCAAACTGGCTTCCTTTGTGGTTCTGTTTCTTGTTGCTTCAGCTGGTAACTCATCTCTCTCTCTCTCTCTCTCTCTCTCTCTCTCTCTAATCTTTGCCATTTTTTTTCTTAAGAATAGGAGCAATGCGGATAACAAAAAATAGATATATATTAAAAAATAAAGAATGACGTTAACTACAAAGTTACTGTGAAGAGCCTTCTGAGTAGTTAGAGTTCTGCTAAGGATATTCTTAGGTTTCAGAACCTCTCCTCTCCTCTTATCATTCTTTTCTTTTTATAACTAATAGATTAACATATTTCAATAGTTTAGATTTTAATTTTTTAAAGCCATTTATAAATCTTTTTTAAAAACACTTAGTGTATTTACAAACCATTAGAATTAAATTTTCATATAATTTGTAATTTATTATTTATTTATTTTATAATTTAATATTTTGATAATAATTTTTAAAAAGATTTAAATCTGAACCATTAAAATATTAATCCAATGGTCAAAAAAGTAAAAAAAAAAAAAGGAAGGAGGATGGGAAGGGAAGAAGAGAGGTTCCAAACCACTCTTGGAACTAAGCCTAAGCAAACGGTTATTCGGTTCAGTTAATGAAGATAACCGAAATAACCGAAAACCGAACATATCATAATTTTGAAACCGAACCGAAACCGAATGTAATGAACTAACCGAACCGAAATAACCGAAATATATTCGGTTCGGTTAGTGGGCTTGTTCGGTTAGTGAGCTCTTTTTTGGGCTTTTTTTTTAAACCTATTATACTAATTTGGAATGCCAAAAAAGGGGTAAATAGTAAGATTATGAATTTTTTAAGCTTCGTTTGGACAATAAATTTAAATATTTGAAAGGTGTAACAAAAGTTCTAAATTCCATACATATATTACTAATAATCAACTTCATCTTTCCTGCATCAATCCAAACTTAATTAAAATCCAAACAAACTAACAAAATTACAACAAATTCCATACAATCCTTATCCCCAAATTCTTATATAATTTGGCTTCATGCTTTTTCTTTTTGTAGTCCCACTTGCAATCGGCATTGAAGGCTTTGTTGTTTGACTCAAGCATCACCCGTGATTTCACCATGAGAAGACACCTATAATCAATCAAATTATATAAGAAACTAAATGAGGACAATTTATAATGAATAGATAACTCCCATCTGTAATCAATCTCTCTTCTTTTTAATTTACATTTTCTGACCGGAGAGGTATTTGTGCAGTGCGGTGCAAAACAACAGAAAGCTAGAAAGGGACAGGGGTTCGGGCTGAATTTTCCTAATGATGCTTTTACATGCCAAATCAAATTTACGGGGGATCTAGTTGTTTAGCTTCATGTTCCGTGGAGAGAAAAAAAATTGAATTACATGCCAAATCAATTAACTCAATCAGTTAGTTAATATTCTATCTAACTAAGAACACTGCAATCAAAGAAATGATTCTAACCATATTTAATTCAGCTCTGCAAGCAAGCAACAGCAGCATGGCAAGATGCAAAATAGGGACGAACCAGCACGCGACGGAGTTGAAAGATAGGTAAGAGGACTTGAAGTTACCCCTTTCGACTGGAGAGGTGCCGGAAGGCTTCAATAAAGCTCAAAATCCGAGCAATGGAGTTGAGAAGGGAGGCCATGATTGACCGATTTGGAGGCGCATAGACACTGAGAGACAAAGCAGAGTCGCCGAAGTCCGAATAGAAAATGATGGAGGAGAGGATGTCGAAAGCCACAACCCACAAACCTGAAGCTCTCAGAGATGAACAATGAGAAGCTGAGAAGCTGAGAAGGGAAGGACGAAGGAGGCAGAGGCAACGATGGTCGATTTTAGATCATCTCCTGCTAAGGAGGGGAGGTCGATGCTGTGATTTCGGATCTTCTCCCACTGAGAAGGGGAGGACGAAGGAGGGCAAAGTCAGAGGCTGTGGCGTGCCGTGTGCGGCCGGTGGGATCTAGGGCAAGAGCTTGAGGGGCACACTGGTAGAGGGGAAGAGCTGGGCTGGCGGGATCTAGGGCAGGAGCTTGGCAGGTAGGTGTTTCAATCTGTG